GGGCTCATACGCTAGTAAAGAGATAATGAATATCTATCAAATTGACAGCTAGCAGTCGTTTTGACATATGCCTTTCCTTAACTTGTCATTGTATTGTCTCCACTTCAACGTATATAAATTTAGTAAAAATAGAGCAAAAAATAACGAACGCAAAAGTAGCAAATGCAAATATTTCCTAAGCAACTCTCTCTATCACATACAGAATTTAAAAGTAGTCCAATATTACCTAAAAAACTCTCTATCACACACAGGCACACATTCCGCACCTGATATATACCCAGTTCATGCAAATGCTATTTTTTAATTCGAGTTCTTATTGTCACAACATAATCCTTTTCAATGATAATAAGTAACTAAAATTGCTGTAAAAAACAATAATTCTCTTACCTGATCTACTTTTTAAACACAAAAAACTGAACTAGTAAAAATGCAAAAATATTATACTGATACAGATATATATCTGATTCACTGATTTAAACACAGCACAGCCACTCGCTACTTATAGAGACAAACTAACGTTAAAACCAAATATTGTCAATAATTTAAGGTCAAAGCAGAACTATCAACACGTTACACGTGCAATTGTCTTTTATGATAATTGCCGCCTCAGCTTTTAGGAGAGTCGCGCGGTATATTACAAACAAAAACAATAGCTTTGCGCTGTCTTGTCAAAAGCCTTTTGACTGCCGCTCTCCAACAATGCATTTGCACCATAAACCGAAATCAAAGGGTACCGAAAGCAGTTGAGCAGAGGCGTGCGATAAATCATTAATAGTATACATCAATATCGGAATAACATAGATCAATATAGAAAAGCGTTGCATAAAACTTTTTAATTATTGAATGGTTCAAATAATATTTTGATTTCGCTGTTTATGCCGCCCCCTTACGGTGCCGCATGATGCGGCCGCATCACTGCGTCATAGCACGGCACGGCCCTGATATCTTATTTCTTTGAAAATTTTTAAATTAAAGTATGAAAAAAATTTCTAGGAAAACTTGTAGAACTAATGTTGTTCGGTATTAAAAATTGTAAATAAAAATGTTTCGAGCCTAGAATCCATATTTTAAAGTTACTGTGCGTCGTATGATCCTGTATCGTGGTTGCATCAGCTAACGTTCAGAATGGGTTATGGCTTTGCTTAATCACCACAACGCGTAGTTGTCAAATATCATGAAAGTAACGACGCGAATTTCGCTTCGTGACCATTATAAAACGAACACGACGCGTTGTGGTCATTTTTTCGCTCAATGAGCGATTTCGGTCTTTGAGCCTAACGTATATATTGATATTAAAAATATATTTAAGACAGAAAATTGTTCTTTTGACAAAGTTATTTTTTTTAATTTATGAGTAAATAATATCGTTTTCGGTATATAAGTATGAAAAATTAAAAAATAAACCAATATTAATCTTTGGTTTAAAAAAAAAGTGGTTTGACCATAGCAATTAAATTAATTTACTTATATGTTACCGCTAAAGCTCGAAAGCCGTTAATGTGTACATTACCTAGCTAATCTGCAGATTAACTAGGGCAGTGGTTCCCAATTAGTTTTTCCTGCGTACCACTTCAAGAAAGAGCTCAAACTCGCGTACCCCTTATAGCGGAAATTCATATTAATCCATACAAATATTAATATTATAAATTCGAAAGTAATTCTGTCTGTCTGTCACCTTTTTACGCCTAAACCGCTGAACAGGTTTTAATAAAATTTGGCACAGAGATAGCTTACATGTTGGAGATGGACACAGGCTACATTTTACTATGAGAAAATATCTTACTCCCACGTGAAAATTCGATATAATGCGGGCGAAGCTGTGGGTAGACAGCTAGTGATAAATAGAATAAGTTTTTTTTACATTTATTTACTTTAAAATACAATTCTAATAATAATGAAAATAACATAAGGTTATTTAATTTTAATGTGACAAATGTGCACGATTTTCTTTGCACAACTTTGTAAAATCTGGTTGCTTTTTGATCAGCTTCAGTCTCGAGTCATTTTTGAGTTGAAGTCGGTGACAACGTTTAGTTTTCGTGTTTGTCATGGCCGAAAATCCGCTCTCGCAGAGGTACGTTGTGCAAAATGGTAGTAAATATTTTATTGCCGCTTCGCTGACACGATGATAATGATAATTGTACAATTAACACAAATTGTGTTAACTGTACACTTTTTGTTTCTTGCGTAAGAATTTCATTTAGGTATTGTCACAAATGCATTTTTTTGATGAAATTTCGAGAATATTTTTAGTTATTAATAAATGAATTTATGCATTCGACATCATGTTGTAAATTGCCGAATTTTTGATGGTCCCCATTACTTTTTTGATTGCTTCATCTCATGCGTTTAAATTTTAAATCGACCGATTTTAGATTGCCGCGTGTACCCCTTCACGCAATTTCGCGTACCCCCAGGGGTACGCGTACCACTAATTGGGAACCACTGAACTAGGGTAATCTGTTAAAGTTGAGAAAATTGTTCCATTTCTCAAATTACCTAGGTAATGTGCAGAGTATCTAGGTAATCTGCACATTACCTACTAGGCAGGCACTCGGTAAAGTGAAAATAAGATCTTTGCTGGAACAACAGCAACGTTTCTGTACGCTTAAATTACATAATGTTGTTTATTTAATTTTCGATATCTAAAGAACCAAGTTAATACAATCAAACAATCAACAAATTAGTTCATAGAATCAATCATCAATCAAGTAAAAACCTGTAATACAAAAAATCAAACGGTTTAAAATATTATTACAATTAGGGAAATGGGGGATTATATAGATTACCACCTATGGAATTTCGGAACTTTGAGTATATATCTGAACTGAGGGGACCGAGACGAGTTCAACGATACCCTACTTTTGGACCATAGACGAAAAATAAGAAAGTTATCATACTTTTTCCGGCGATCGCATGATAAAATTGTCCGTTAATGTTACTTTTGGTGACTAAAATGGCGGCTCGTCTCTGATTCCAGCAAACAGAAGAAAGAAAACAGTGGGGACGCACGTTCTAACCTAACCTAACCTATTCTAATAAATTACCATAATTATTACCAACCAAATTATTAGAATAGATTAGGTTAGGTTAGAACGTGCATCCCCACTGTTTCCTTTCTTCTCTTTGCCGGAATCAGAGACGAGCCGCCATTTTACTCACCATAGGTAACATNAGAAGAAAGGAAACAGTGGGGACGCACGTTCTAACCTAACCTAACCTATTCTAATAAATTACCATAATTATTACCAACCAAATTATTAGAATAGATTAGGTTAGGTTAGAACGTGCATCCCCACTGTTTTCTTTCTTCTCTTTGCCGGAATCAGAGACGAGCCGCCATTTTACTCACCATAGGTAACATTATCCAATTGTGCTTACTTACAGTCTAAAGATTGGTGACACTTTGAATTACATAGCAATTGGTTTTTGCGACAAGCGCACCTATTTGTGGTACATTTATTTGTGGCAAAGATCTTACTTTCACTTTACTGAGTGTCTAGTAGGTAATGTGCAGATTACCTAGATACTCTGCACATTACCTAGGTAATTTGAGAAATGGAACAATTTTCGCAACTTTAACGGATCACCCTAGTTAATCTGCAAATTAGCTAGGTAATGTACACATTAACGGCTTTCGAGCTTTAGCGGTAACACACACAAATTACCTATATAAAATTTACCAAAATTAATCTTTTAAGAAATTGTTATTATATATCACGAAAATAGATAAAATCGATTTCATTAGAGAGGTTGCGGCCTATGTTTTCATCACGAGACCAAACGCCATTATCAAACTTCTAGGCTTATAGGAAGGCGGCGCTGAACGTTCGATGTACACGTTTTCACGATGAAAAGGTTGGCCGCAACCTCTATTTACAAAGTAGAAAAACGCATTCTAATTTCGACTTTATATGTAGAAATTACGAATATTTGCACAATATTCCGGATTTTCTTACAGGTTAAATTTCAGATGCGTATACTGTCATGGCAGCGGTCCGGACTGTTCGTACTCTCGTCGGATTAATACATACTAGTTATTGATACTAGTGTGTTCAAGAACTACCGTGAATCAATAACTAGTGACGTTTAGCACAAGGCGGCCTGCCGGCGGCTCCCCTCCGGGAGGAGTCAGTCGGGACCACCGCCATGACAGTATAGCATCTGAAATTTAACCTTTACATAAGCAACCAATGAGAATCATTTCTTCTCTATGAGACAACCTTATTACTTTCTACGCAGGGCTGTGGAGTCGCGTAAAAATCTACCGACTCCAGCTCCGACTCCGACTCCGACTCCGACTCCGACTTTTCCTTACCATCCGACTCCGACTCCGACCAGGGGCGGACTTGTTACCGAAAGAGACCCGGAAATTCTGATGTCATCACGTGACCTCAGAATAAAAGATTCAATAAATAGAGTTCTAATAAAGATAGAGCGTAGAAACTTTTTATTCCAAAGTTATAAGACTCCTCTAAGTAATATATACAATGGAACCCCGGTTAACGAACGTTCTGGTTAACGAACTTTTATTTTGCAAAAATGTTGTCTCGGATAACGAACAAAATTCGGATAACGAACGTAACGGTATTTTGTGTCAAATTTTAGTTGGTGTTAGGCATGCGCGAGTTAAGCATTGTTTTCGGAGTGTTTGTGCTATACTTCTTTTTTTCAGTTTTGTGATTTATATATTTAATCAATATGGCATCCAAGAAAAAAAAAGTCATAGTGGCAATAGAAAACGACAACGCGCTATCGCATTTGAGAAAAATTTTGATTTAAAGAGTAAGACAATTAGCTTTAGATCAGTTTCTTGTTCCTTACGGAAAGAGTTTGTTTGTTAAGTTATGGCAACGCAATAATTTAACAAACAGATCCCCCTAGGCAGATCGCCCAAGTGTTGACTTGGAGGATCTGCCTAGGGGGAATGCCTTCTGGGAGGTGTTTTTAAGGGAAACTGGCCCCTATTTAGGCATTACAGACGTGGAGAAAACCCGGAAAACTCCACGTGGCCAGCCCGTCTGAGCGAGGTGCGAACCCACGAACGAACTCCGACTCCGATTCCGGCTAAAACACCAAAACTCCACGACTCCGACTCCACAGCCCTGCTTCTACGGTCTTGAGAGTAACCGGTCGAATTCGTCACGAGTAAACTTTGGACGCTATGTTGTATATACTATTTCCAAGTTTTGGATAAAACTTTAAAAGATAAAAAAATAATCGTTTTATATATTAATTGATTTTGAATATATAATATATATATTATATATATATATATTTTAGATTGAACTAAAATAGATAGGATCTGGAAACACGTGAACGACAGACTGGCGAATTTGGAAAGAAAACAAAACAAATACGACATGAATCCGTTAGCATCGGGATAATCAGGCTGTACCTGTATATTTCGTTTCGAGTAATGGTTAGAGTTAGATAACTAATATAATACAAAATAATGAGCGGAGGATTAGTACCTAGTAAAAGCACGGTTTATGTTGGAAATCTTCCCTTTTCTTTAACTAATAACGATCTTCATCAGATTTTCGAAAAATATGGAAAAGTTGTCAAGTAAGTTCATTATATTAAAATTAGCAAAAATTTTACTTTATAATCTCTTGTTTTCTACACCTGCTCAGAAATGGGTTTATTTTTTTAAAAGGTTCCTTTCGGTTCTTTACTAGGAGAAATTTTACAATAGATATATTATATATATTTAGTAGATATAGTACTTTTAAGATAGCTAGATGTAGACGATCTATAGATAGCTCTTGAAAATTTAAACGAACAATTAGAATGAGAATAAATAGGAAAAAAACGAAGATAATGAGATGTTCAAAAAAAAGATGAACGAGGAGGAATGAATGTCTATTTAGACAGTAAAAAAATAGAAGTCAATGAGTTCACATACCTAGGAAGCATAATTACCTCGAATGGAAGGAGTGGAAGAGATGTTAATGGCAAGAATAGGCAAAACAGGCATTCTATAGAAAATGACAGATGTTAACATAAAAAATATATCAATTGATGTTAGGAAGTGATTTGTTAAGAGTTTCGTCTGGAGCATAGCATTGTATTGTTCGGAGACATGGATGCTCTGAATGGCAGAGAAAAGAAAACTGGAGGCCTTTGAGATGTGGTGTTGGCGAAGAATGATGCCAGTGTCTTGGACGGAGAGAAAGAATGAGGATGTTTTGGAAGAGGCAACAGAGAAGAGAGAGATTTTGACAATGATAGAGAAAAGGAGAAACACCATGATTGGCCACCTAATTTGACACTTGGAATGGATGAATGTTTTATTGCAAGGAAAGATAGAGGGCAAAAGGAGGCATGGAAGACCTGGAGTGGAATATCTCAACAAGTTATTATGGAAGAGCCCTTACCAACTGATTAAACAGCTAGCTAAGCGAAGAGAGAAGCTATAAGACTGCTCACATTTATGTTTGACCACTAACCATTGGTTGAGAGAGAGAGAATTTTTAAATAGTGTATTGTGAGACATTAACCCTATGCACTAAATACAGTATATTTTAGCTAATAACATCATATTAATGTACTATACTTGATGCTGTGTAATGTTTCAGTTCAGTCTTGTAAATAAGCAAATACTGATTTTAAATATTATTTTAGACTTCAAAATTTTTTACTTTAGATTTTTAATTTATACATGTTATGTACAGAATAATATATGGGTTTGCAGTTGCATTTAAGCAGATTGTCTGGAAGTTTTTCTCTATTTGTCTACGAAATTAATTTAAAATTTGGATTAAAAAAATTATAATCTAATATAAAATAGATTTATTTTACATTAGTTTATAGATCGATTGTAGGTATAGATTTATTTTGTCAGTAAGCTGAGTTTTAATTGTTCAGTATCTAAATTAATTCAAGTTTCAGATTCAGTCACTTTATTTTTGAAATTGCAGTTTCTTACTACATTTGTTTCTATTTGTTCATTCTGCTGCTATCGTAGACATTGTTGAATTCATTACAAATAAACCTTACTTGAAAATAATGATCTGTGAAAAAAATGTGTTTTGGAGAATTTTTCAAAGTTATGATTTTATTCTTAGTATTTCTAAAGAACTAGAAACTAAATACTACACTGTGAAATACTTATAAACATAAAAATTAAAACTGGAAAAAGCCATTATCATTAATTTTATATTCTTAATTAGCCATTACTGAATTTAATAATTAATCTTTCTACTACCAATTTTGAATGTTTTATTTAAAACAACAAATTAGTAGTATAATCATATCAAATACCTTCAATTAAAAGTATTTTGGTGTTTTAGTGAGATTATTTTATTATGATTCATATAAAATAACATTGTTATTTTAAATACAGTGAAAACTGCTTAGGCGACCACCTGCATTGGACGGGCACCTGTCAAAACGGGAAAAAATTTCTGGCACGGAATTTTCAATTTACATAATAAGTTACCTGTATTAAACGACCACCTGTCTAATAGACCACTTTTTGAAGGAACCGTGGGTGGTCGCAATAGACCGGTTTTACTGTATATTAATATTTTAGTGCCTATTTATTTTTACTTTATTCTTTATTATTAATATTTTATTTAAAAATTAAAAATATTATATTTTTCAATGTTTTACAACTGTTTTTCAGTGTTAATAGTTTATTCATCAAGAAAAATATATCACAAATTTGGTATATGCCATTCTTTTCAGTATTTTTCAGTAAAACAAACATATTTAATGGATAAGCATTAAATAAACATTTTTTTGTTCTAACCAAAAATTGGGATAACTAAATGGGAGACATGTAATTGATTTATCAAATCTTGCATAATTCAAAGAGATATTTTTGAAATGTAGATGTTTTTAAAAGATGATAGAATAAGGTAATATAGTTGAAAAGTGCAAAATAATATTAGAAGTAACTTGTTCACATTACATTTTGTAACAGTTCAAAACAAATAGCTTTTCAAAATTTAAAAATAATTTTAAGTGATCTTCTGGTTTTAGAATGTAAACAATTGATTAGAAAGGTTAAATTTTTGAATTGTTTGAAGTTTAACCAGTTTAGTTTAGTTTTTAGCATGTTATGTAATTTTCACCAATAAGTAGATAATGCATTTTACTTAATCATGAATGAAAATAATTACATACAACATTATAGTTCTAATAAAATCAAAATGACTAAATTTTACTTGAAATTCCTTATTTGCTTACTTACTGAATTAATCAATACACCTGTAACAGTGGTTGAAATTGAACTACTATTAAAGGTGTATTGATTAATTCAGGAGATTGTTTATTACAGTGGCTAGTTCATTCTTTGTTTACTTCAATTTAATCAAAGGTGATGATATATTTGTATTACATCCAGTGGCATATTCAGAATTTTGAGAGTATGTGTACTGCTGAAGGCAGATTTGGAAAACTAAGGGGCATGCCCCTTATTGTTTCTCAAAGAATTTCAGAGTTTTACTAATTATTCAGTTACCATAGAATTACTTTAGTTATCTAGTTACTAGTTTACCTGATTGAAGTCAAGCAATATGTGTTGTTGTATTTACTATATTTCTGCACATATAAGCAAGTTCTTATATGCAGAATTTTCTTGCTTTTGTAATTTTGAAACATATCTGTTTTGCTTATAAGAGTTACACAAGTTTCACATATAAGGTTAATGCAAGGTTTGCTCATATATGTGCCAGCTTGTTTTGTCAATATACAGTCAGTGCAACTAGAGTTGGTCCTTACGTTGGTTTATTTTTGCATCTTTTAAGTGGTGAAATAATTGTTTATGAATACACATATACTCTTTTGAACTTCATTTTGTTTTGAAAAGGGGTTGAGTGCATGTGGTTAATTTTAGTTAATTACATCAGCATTATTATATTCTATTAAATATTTATATTTAATAAAATTTTTGATTACAAATTAAAAAAAAGAAATATTGCCTTATCAATCTCCCCTATAGCATACTAAGAACCAAACTGTGCTTTTAAAATTTTAATATAAATGCTATACTTTTTGTAACCCATAATGTTTTTAACATAAAACAGTGATTATAAGTTTTTATTTTATTTTAGTTTTAATTAATATACATCTTTAAAATGACAGAGTTGTTACATATAATATGAAGACAGAAATGACTAATAAAATTGTGTGATTTCAATAGTTTGTCCAGATTTATAAAGCTTAGTTGTTTTAAATCCTTACTATTTATAATTAATTTATAATAAATTAGTTTTAAAAAATAAAATAATAGATACAAATTATGATTTCAGAGTTACTATACTAAAAGACAGAGAAAACAGACAAAGTAAAGGAGTGGCTTTTGTGTTATTTATTGATAGAGAATCAGCTTATCGGTGTATTAGAGCATTAGATAAAAAGGAACTTTTTGGAAGAACTTTAAAGTGCAGCATTGCAAAAGATAATGGTCGAGCTTCTGAATTTATAAGAAGAAAAATTTACAAAGACAAATCTCGTTGTTATGAATGTGGAGTAAGTATAATATGTTATATAAATGTACATGATAAAATTAGAATTTTTGTATAACATATTATTAAATAATTGGTTTTTTTTTTCTGTTATATGTGGATATTTAGTAATAATATAATTTATTAATTCACTTTTTTTTGTTTGTCCTATTCACTTTGAAGAAGAAAACATAATTTATTCATGCAGAATTATTTGAACTAAATATAATCATATTCTATTATCTTAATCTAATACATTTCTAAAAACTATTCAAATATCAGGAATTTGAATATTTTAAAGTTTTTCCATTGCTTATTATGGGAAAAATTCTAACTTATTTCTGACGCATTAAAATAACCCCAACTAATTTGTGTAATTTGTTAAAATAACCCTAATTCGACGCCATCGAATTCCGTCTGTTGTCACAGTCGCAACCTTTTATACTTATGCCCATTTGGATTACCCTAAAACCCATTTCTTTGATATTTTTGTGCTATTAATGAGCTTGAATCTTCATGGAAACCTACAAAGAGGTATGCAAACCCATGTAAACATGTAAACTCTCTCTCGAGCCCTTGGTCAGTTTAACAAAGAAATTAGTGTTTGTAATTTTTGTTGATCTTGTTTAATTTGAATAAACTTATTTTATTTGTTAAATGGTATCCTCCTTTACTCGTATACTGCCTATGCCTTATTGTCAACCCCGATTACTCTCCCTCCACTCGACCGACATAGAGCAGAAGTCCTGACCCTTGGGACCAGAAATCATAACATAGCCATCTTGACAAGTGGCTGGAAAGGGAGGTGCAACTAACCCTGACCTCCTGGCGGTTCACATATCACTATTAGGAATTAATTCCAGAATATGAAAATAAATGTATTCTGAAAGTTACAAAATGAACTGTGCACATAAAATAAATTAAAGAAAACAGCAATCTGTCAGTTTAACAATTTCAGCAGTCTGTCAGTTTAACAAAATCAAATCTTTTCCATTGTCTGCTGTCTGATGACTTTGTTTACTTACATTTCAAAAAAAAATTTTGAAAGTCCAAAAAGTTTAAATTTGTCCACTTTCAAAATATTAATTGACAGAGCTTGTTCTGAATTATCTTGCAAAGTTATGCAGTACAATTGGCCTTCCACCCTCCATCATACACTTTCTGCTTTAACTGGTACCAAAATCATTTGATTGATTTTAGCTGAGTTACTTTAGACACATTATTTTCATGAAGATTGTACTGTATCTCATTCTGGTCAAAGGCAAAAGTTATGTCTTAAGTGTAGGGGGACATTGCCATATCTGGCCAAAACATGTACTCTCCATTTGGACAGTTCTTCAAGAATTGAATTTGTATGCACTTCATATACTTTCATGTTAATGAAAAATTCATATGCTGTGATGAAGGTCTGAAACCATTTGTGATGGCTCACAGCTACTTATACAAAAATCTTTATCAGAAACTTTGCACTATATTTGAACTTTACTGCTGGTATAATATCCTTTCTTTTTTACAATATAAATTTCTGTTTTCCACCCGTTCAGAGCCATCCAATGTAAAATAAGATCCATTGTGTATATTACAACTTTCAGGTTGAATTGTACTGCAATTTTCTTTGGTTGTCAGCATAATTTTATCCGATTTCCTAAATGCTTCACCATATACTGTACTTGAGTGCAAAAATCCTTTTTGTTATAACAATATTTGTTTTCCTCTTAATATCCCATGCACATGTGTTTGGAATAATTTAAACTTTCAACTGAGCTTATGGATAGACTAGCTCACCTCACCAACAGTGGCATTGGTTAGCTACATTAAAGTTTGCTTCAGTCACTTTAATCCTTTTTCTTCCATTTCCTTCAGCACCAGATAATATTTTTCTTCTCTTCCACTTTCTTAGTTACATCGTGTACTATATACTGATATATTGAATGTAAATGTAAGTTATATATTTATTTATGTTTTCTGTGGGGAAAAATATAGGGAAGGTTTTAGAGCTTAATAAATAGATAAATTTAATTTAATATTACTTTTAAGTCAGCACTGGTCCCTACTAAAATTTTTTCTATAGCCCTTGGGAATGTCCATACATTTAAAATGTTTTGCAGTGAAAAATTTACATATCAAATTTCTAGAATAAAAATTTTTAATGATTTTTCTATGTTTATATTTTAGACAGTTTATAAGTTTATTAATGAAATCCCAAAACAGTTAAGTTAAATTTAGTTTTCATAAATAGCTCAAAAGTGATAAGGGGAAGTAATGAGCCATAGTTTTCATTAGATTTTTCTAGAATAATTACAGTTTTGATGTAATCTAAATATATAAAATTACTTGTCCTGACTGACTCACTGATTTGTCATCGCCCAGAGCAAACCGCTGAACCTAAAAAGGTGAAATTTGGTACACGATACGTCCTGAAAACGCACACTAAGAAGGGATTTTTTGAAATTCCCTCGCGGGGGTAAGAGGGAGAGCATTAAGGTTTAACTGGAAGAATGGCTTCTACTATACTATTTTAGATGCAATTTTTTGTTTTTATCTGCATTTGTTTTAGTAGGATACACCATGAGAATGCACACTAAGAAGGGATTTTTTTGAAATTCCCCTGTGGGGGAGAGGGAGAGTGTAAAGTAGTAACCTTTTAGCACAGCGGGGACAAAGGGGGTACGGCTTNTATTATTAGAATATATTATTAGTATATCTGAAGTACAGAGTTCCCATTGGGATTCGGCTTGCTCCCTTGTTTATTACAAACAGTACATCACCTCAGTGCAGGGTATTTACATTTATTCAAGTACTATGCAAATCATGGCTTCTAAAAAAACAGAAAGGTGATTTCAATTGAAACAAAGCAAGAAATCATCATAAGGAGTGAAAGGTGACAAAAACTTCCTTGTCAAATCGGGAGAGGTTCAACAGTTTACCAACACTCATTATCCAAACAGAGCTGGGGCCAACAGGATCAATGATCTCTACAATGACGCCCTTGCCTGTCATTTCCGACAGGTGTTGAAGAAGAGAGAGAAACAGACCACCTTGGACCTGTTTTTCAAGAAGCCAGCTGTCAAAAAACAAAGGATGGAACAAGAGGAGTTGACCCTGCAAACTCTGGTAGCCTCTCCTGAATCTGACTCCAATTAAAAAACAATAAAAAAAGACCTACTGCAATGTGTAAAAAAACTGTATTTGTATGAATGTGTGAAGAAAGTGTTCCTCCACCTCCTCATCACAACATCTGGCATAATTGATGACTTTTCCATTTTTATTTTTTTTATGGTATAGTATAGGTATTTTATGCTGCAAAACGAATTATATGTTTTAACATGTATTTCTATGGAAAAATGCGTTTTGTATAACAGACTTTTCACTTAACGGAAGTGCACCTGGAACAGATTAAGTACGTATACGAGGCACCACTGTATAAGATAAGTTTAATCAAATCAGTTTAAAGTAAAAGTACACATTTTTGAAACAGTCTACGAAAAAAAAATAGCTGTTTTATTTAAACTTTATTTATTTAGAAATTTTGAATTTCATTTATATACATTTTGTTTTATTTTATTGATAATTTGAGAAAGTTATATTTAATTGTTAAATATAACTTGATTTTATTGATGTTGACAATAATATTAATCTCCTATTCCAAATCTGTAATCTCAGATTTCTAGTTATTTAAGTCAGTCAGCTAAGAATATCTAGCAGTTTTAATAGTAAGATTTAGTTTGTTCTGATATAAAAAATAGTTAATGTTTTCAAATTGTGAAAATAGATACAGTTATAAATTTATATAATTTGTGTACTTAATTCAGTTGTTTATTTATTTGTATAATTTTTCTATTCATTTAACTATATTAATATAAATTAAATTTATTTTTGGGTAAATAAATTTTAAATTTGAATTTAAAACTTTTTACTCATAAAATGATTAAAGTGAACTACTTACTAAACTAATCTGATGTCAATAAGTGAAAGTTCAAATGATTTACAGTGAGTTGATATTTGATAAGTTTAGTTTTTTGCATTTACAGAACAAATTACAGAAAATATAAATAAAAATCACATTTTTTTAAACCCACAAGTATTTTATACTATTAGACAGTAGAGAAAGTGTAGAAATTAAAGATATAATCATAGTCAAGCATATATATATCTGTAAAAATATAAAAACTGCATTAATTTGCATTATGTATCTCGTGGATACAATATTTCAAGTGAGCTCTTAAAAATCTTATTTATTGTATTTATTGTCCATTTTAGTATTACATTTAACATTTAATTGTTATATTGTACCATTAGTGCAACCAATTGTTTGGAGTTTTTCTTAATACAGTGAAATTCTGTTAACACTGCATCCAGTATGCCAGCAAATTTGATAAGTCAGCGTGTTCAATTCATTTTTGAGGGAAAGTTATCAGTGCATTGGGTATTCATCTGTATTTATATACATGTAGGTAGCCAGTTAATTAAAACTAAAAGTAAGAATTAAATTTAAAAATAATGAAATAATTAAAACTCAGACCTTTACATCAAAACTAAAACTAAAAATAAAATCAAAATTAATTAATTAATTAAAATGAAATGAATTTAAACATAATATTTTGGAAAGTATGGATAAAGTACTTGTCTGTCTTGATTGATTTGTGATATTTCATCCAAGCAGTCATAGTTGAGTCTTTATTTATATCACTTCTTTGTAAAGTGTTAGTTTCAGTTCATGGTAATGGAACATTTTGCTTTTAATATATATATATATATAGAATAGATATAGATAAAAGTGTACAAAGTAAGATTAGAGTGTTCTTGTTTCAAACCAATCAAGGGTAGGAATAGTCTGAAAAAATTGAAATGGCTTGTTAAAGAATCATAAAAGGTGGATTTGTACAGTTTTACATGTGAAGATGTGTAAAATTGTGTCCAGAGAATCAAAAAAAAACCAGAAAAAATTCCATTGTCATATAAGTTGGTATATTTGATAACCTGGCAACAGAATGTCACTGTATATCTGTTTTAGCCATCATTAATTGGAACGAACTGACCTCAAAATTTCATTATTGTTAAATGTAATACTACAATGGACAATAAATACATACTGTATAAAAATAATGAATATGTTTACTCATGTTTAATTGCACAAACCTGAATTTGAAGTTAGTGCTCAAAAATCAAAAATGAAACTAATTTTTGTTTGTAATCTGTTGAAATGAAATATAGATTATTGCTTCATTTTATATAATTTCATTATTATATATATATTTTTTAAAGTAGGCAGATATTAAAGTAAAAAAGGCAAAGTTTATTCAATATATGCTATTTTATTACCAATTAATTTAAGTACATAAAGTTTCAATTACACAACAGCTAAACCAATTTAAAACAGAGTACATCTGTTAGGTATAGTTATTATTATTATTTATTTTCTTTTTGATTTATTTATTCATAACTGATAGCTTTAAAACTTTTTGAAATAATTGAAAATAAATATTTTTTTATAAAATTAGAGAAGAAGATGAAGAAGAAGAATGTAGTGATGATGATGAAGGTGAAGATCCAGCGTTAGAAAGTTTAAGTTCTGCTATTCAGTATCAGGTAATTTGAAAATTAGAATAATGAAATGAATCCATAGGCATGAGAAAATAAGCTAATAATAAAAACAAAGTTTAAGTTAAAATTTAAATAAAATTTAACTGTATTAGTTACATTATTATGACTGATTTTTACTAATTCAACTGCCTTTTCTTAAAGTTAAAATGAATTTCCAAATGTTTGTTTATTATATAATAAACATATCATAAATTTGATGAAATATCTGATTGCAGTGTATAATAACATAGAGAAGAGGTGGAAATTTAGTTCACCTTTTATTTCATCTGCATTGAATGAAAATAGAAAAAGCATTATAACAGAATTTTATTTAAAATATTTGAGGATTAGAAATGTTAAGAGGTTTTAACAGTAATTAGAATAAAACTTAAGTTTCTTATTTTCTTAAAATTCAAATTTCATTGAGACAATAATATTCAGGGAACTAGTTATTATTTCTAAGAGTTATTTATTTAAGGTTTATTTCATAGAATTTTATTTGTGANAGATAGTAGAGAAAGTGTAGAAATTAAAGATATAATCATAGTCAAGCATATATATATCTGTAAAAATATAAAAACTGCATTAATTTGCATTATGTATCTCGTGGATACAATATTTCAAGTGAGCTCTTAAAAATCTTATTTATTGTATTTATTGTCCATTTTAGTATTACATTTAACATTTAATTGTTATATTGTACCATTAGTGCAACCAATTGTTTGGAGTTTTTCTTAATACAGTGAAATTCTGTTAACACTGCATCCAGTATGCCAGCAAATTTGATAAGTCAGCGTGTTCAATTCATTTTTGAGGGAAAGTTATCAGTGCATTGGGTATTCATCTGTATTTATATACATGTAGGTAGCCAGTTAATTAAAACTAAAAGTAAGAATTAAATTTAAAAATAATGAAATAATTAAAACTCAGACCTTTACATCAAAACTAAAACTAAAAATAAAATCAAAATTAATTAATTAATTAAAATGAAATGAATTTAAACATAATATTTTGGAAAGTATGGATAAAGTACTTGTCTGTCTTGATTGATTTGTGATATTTCATCCAAGCAGTCATAGTTGAGTCTTTATTTATATCACTTCTTTGTAAAGTGTTAGTTTCAGTTCATGGTAATGGAACATTTTGCTTTTAATATATATATATATATAGAATAGATATAGATAAAAGTGTACAAAGTAAGATTAGAGTGTTCTTGTTTCAAACCAATCAAGGGTAGGAATAGTCTGAAAAAATTGAAATGGCTTGTTAAAGAATCATAAAAGGTGGATTTGTACAGTTTTACATGTGAAGATGTGTAAAATTGTGTCCAGAGAATCAAAAAAAAACCAGAAAAAATTCCATTGTCATATAAGTTGGTATATTTGATAACCTGGCAACAGAATGTCACTGTATATCTGTTTTAGCCATCATTAATTGGAACGAACTGACCTCAAAATTTCATTATTGTTAAATGTAATACTACAATGGACAATAAATACATACTGTATAAAAATAATGAATATGTTTACTCATGTTTAATTGCACAAACCTGAATTTGAAGTTAGTGCTCAAAAATCAAAAATGAAACTAATTTTTGTTTGTAATCTGTTGAAATGAAATATAGATTATTGCTTCATTTTATATAATTTCATTATTATATATATATTTTTTAAAGTAGGCAGATATTAAAGTAAAAAAGGCAAAGTTTATTCAATATATGCTATTTTATTACCAATTAATTTAAGTACATAAAGTTTCAATTACACAACAGCTAAACCAATTTAAAACAGAGTACATCTGTTAGGTATAGTTATTATTATTATTTATTTTCTTTTTGATTTATTTATTCATAACTGATAGCTTTAAAACTTTTTGAAATAATTGAAAATAAATATTTTTTTATAAAATTAGAGAAGAAGATGAAGAAGAAGAATGTAGTGATGATGATGAAGGTGAAGATCCAGCGTTAGAAAGTTTAAGTTCTGCTATTCAGTATCAGGTAATTTGAAAATTAGAATAATGAAATGAATCCATAGGCATGAGAAAATAAGCTAATAATAAAAACAAAGTTTAAGTTAAAATTTAAATAAAATTTAACTGTATTAGTTACATTATTATGACTGATTTTTACTAATTCAACTGCCTTTTCTTAAAGTTAAAATGAATTTCCAAATGTTTGTTTATTATATAATAAACATATCATAAATTTGATGAAATATCTGATTGCAGTGTATAATAACATAGAGAAGAGGTGGAAATTTAGTTCACCTTTTATTTCATCTGCATTGAATGAAAATAGAAAAAGCATTATAACAGAATTTTATTTAAAATATTTGAGGATTAGAAATGTTAAGAGGTTTTAACAGTAATTAGAATAAAACTTAAGTTTCTTATTTTCTTAAAATTCAAATTTCATTGAGACAATAATATTCAGGGAACTAGTTATTATTTCTAAGAGTTATTTATTTAAGGTTTATTTCATAGAATTTTATTTGTGACCATAAATGGAATGCCTTTAAAAATTCTCCAAAACCATCAGTTAGTTGTATAGCTCATTGAGAAAGGAACTGTGACTATTTTAACTTTTTTCTTTCTTACAGTGATTTTGCTAAGCTAAATGAGTAATTATTTATTATGACATCATCACAAAGACAGGCTGCAATTTTTAATTTATTTAATTTAAAATATATACATTTGAGTTTAGTGGTGTTGTGCCCCTCTACATTATACTTTTTCTGTTATCAAAAGAACCATTCTTATCATCTTTCTAACTCTGTTCTGAAGAAAATTTTTGAATTGAAATAATGTGACTTCCATTTCAAATTGGACATTTATATATAGTTAATTTGGCTTGTTGTCCCTAAACTTTTTATGTCTGGTCTTGACTTTCCTCAATCTAGCTCCATTCTCGAGATTAACTCTTTTCCTTCTGATAAGCAGTACTGATAACAGTTTGGTTAAACTATTCATGTAAGAGAAACAAATTTAGAAAATTAAAAGTGCAAAAGTGTGTGGAATTTTCATTATGATTATGTGTGTACGCTCTTCAGCNTCAAAAAAAAACCAGAAAAAATTCCATTGTCATATAAGTTGGTATATTTGATAACCTGGCAACAGAATGTCACTGTATATCTGTTTTAGCCATCATTAATTGGAACGAACTGACCTCAAAATTTCATTATTGTTAAATGTAATACTACAATGGACAATAAATACATACTGTATAAAAATAATGAATATGTTTACTCATGTTTAATTGCACAAACCTGAATTTGAAGTTAGTGCTCAAAAATCAAAAATGAAACTAATTTTTGTTTGTAATCTGTTGAAATGAAATATAGATTATTGCTTCATTTTATATAATTTCATTATTATATATATATTTTTTAAAGTAGGCAGATATTAAAGTAAAAAAGGCANCTATTTATTAGCATTTCATACCACTAGACCACTACCCCTCTTCAGTAGAAGGTTATAAAAACTTTTTTTAAGCGTATATTAATTTAATAAAATTAAAAATAGAACAACAAAAAGTATATAACAAGAAAAAGAAATAAAGTCAATTATTAATATGTTTTTATTAAATAATTACCCAAAAAGTAATTGTACAAAAAATGGCTTAAATTAGAACAAAGAATAACAATAGTTAAAAGTAATCAACATGCTGAAACAAAAATAAAATTAGGGTGTAAGAGTTTCAGAACACATTAGAGCAATAAAATATAATTATGGAAAGTCAGCAGTGGTGAAATGTTATCAGTGAAATGGTTGTAAAATTAGTTTAAAATCAGTAAAAATTGAAAAAATAATGAAGTGAATTATTATAAAAGACAGTCATATGAAAATTAACAAACATTGGAAATAAAACGAATGGAATATTGGAAATAAAACGAATGATAATTTATGATAAATTAAAGATAAATCATAGTATCTGATATTTGAGCTAGATGGTGTGCAAGTAAATTAATTAAAATTAAATAACAGCAGAGAAGTTAGTGTTTTTTATACAAAAAACTTAGGTTGATGTTAGAGCTCTTTCAGTGTATGTATTAAAACACTGAAAAAAAAGGGGGAAAACAAGATATGTTGAGTCCCTTAGGTAAGAGTTTTTAACAAATTATTATAATAGTTTTACAAAAAAGTAAATTGTAGATATTTTTAGAACCAGTTTTATGTATTGCGGGATGGAATAGTCTATGTACATTTTTGAGAAAGTACAAATGAATGTATTTAAGTAGTATGGGTAAGAGATAATGTGAAAAAAAATTGTAATAATTTTTTAAAATAATTGTAAATATATTTTTTCAAAGTTTTTGTAACTTTCTACTGAAGAGGGGGCAGTAGTCCAATAGTCCAAAATACTTAGTAACTAGCATAGCATACAGTGTTATAGTGAATATCTGAAAAAATGATTATCATCATCTAATTCTTGTGCACTCCTGCTTGATGTAACAAATCCTGAAATAAAGTAAGATTCTCTTGGACATTTTGATAATACTTGTACAATGAGGACAAAAAACAATATATTATCGTAGTTCTTCATAATGGTATAGGTAACCTAAAATTTACAAGAAGTGCAAAAGCAAAGTAACATTTTATTCAGATTTTTTAAGATTAATTTGTTTTTTACTTTTTTGTTATTAGTTATTAACTAATAACATAACATATATTGAAGAAGTAAAATATACATATCAATTTGTTTCTAAATTCTGAAATTAAATTTCAGTTAACTTCAGTTCCATGTACTTGATGTAAACAAATAAAAATGAGGTCATATACAGCTGGATTTAATGAAAATTAATGTGTATTTTTGAGCATGTATTATAATAATTATTAGAAATAGCATTTTATGGATACAATGGAGGCCCAAACTATTAATTAGTCCAAACATAATTATTTCTTTCAGTGTCACTGGACAAAATAATAATGGATAATAAGCACTATCACAGATTTCACACATATTTGCCATGTAGTGTATTTTTTCCAATGAAAGTCTTAACATGTTAAAAAATAATTAAAATTCAATTTATTCAACATTTAAAGATTTTTAGCAAGACATATACCATAAAATAAGCACACGTTTAAAGTATAAATAAAACATAAAATTGAAGAACAAACAAACATAGTGTAATTATATTTATCAGGCTCTGTTTTTCTTTTATGATTTGTTTTGTAACAGTTATTAATGAAATTGTTTTTATTTCTGTACCAAATAAATGAAGAGAGGAAACTTTTCTAATTGGGAAGAAATAATTTGATTAGAGAAATTTAAAAGTTAGAAATATCATTGTAACTGTTTTGTTGAACTTATTCTTGTTTTTAAATTCTAAATCTCCATAGCAGATAAATAATGTCTTTAAAAAATATTACAAAACAACATTTAGGTTAAATGATATCATTTCATAAAGCTATTTTTTATAACATTGTGAGAGCAACATTGACTAAATCATAGTAAATGATAGAACACTTTGAGATGTATATAATACTAAAATATTAGCATTTTTGACTCAGTGGAAATCAAGTAAAAAAAACAAAATGTGAGTTTTTTTAATGTTATGTCTATGGAAAATTTTTATCTTTGTTTCCACCAAGTCAAAAATTCCAATATTTTAATACTATATGAATCTCAAAGTTTTCTATCATTTACCACAATTTTGTCAATATTGCTTTCACAATTCCATAAAAATCCTTAATGTAAAAATAACATGCATTATATATGGAAAATCATAAATGTATGTCATGACATAGGAAAGAATATCTCTACCAACCTTACACATATTTATCTTTTAAATATACTGTAATTTTCTTATTAATATGTTCAACATTCTTTTATTTTAGATTCAAGAAAATATTTTGATTTGTTTGTCATTTGATAATTTTTATTATGTATAATTCTTTTTTAAAACATTTCAGTTTTATTTAGGCTTTTAATAATCTAATTGCTTTGAAATTTTAAATCTTAGCAATTTTAGATTGTCTAAACTTTTCATTATTTATTGCATAACACTGTAGCTCTGGATAGGATAAGGTTAAGGATATAGTGCAGGCCTGCATCCTTAGCGGATCTGGCTGCGGGCCAGATCTGCAGGCCATATGAATATGGTCATGGGCCACATAATGAATTTATGTGGCCCGCGATCAATCTTTCAAAATAGCTCAATGAAAAATTCCGACACCTAAAAATAAAAAAAAAAAAAAGATCAACAACTCACCATGCGTTTAGAGTTAACCCTCCATTACAAATCTCTTAAGTTCAGCATAGAGTGTTGATAAAGCATGATAATGTGAGAAATGTATCTGTAATTTCTATCTACAATTCAGTCTCTACGGGAGACTGAATTGTAGATAGCTCTCGCACCACCAATTGTAGATAGATTTTGAGGTGGTGCGAGATCACAATGAGATCTCGCACCACCTCAAAATCTTCCTAGGGCAACCTCTGGTTCGGCCCATTGAAAAAGTTTTCTTTCCAATCTGGCTCGGGGGCAAAAACTGTTGGCCACCCCTGATATAGTGAGTAGCTTTAGATTTTAATCCTATCCAAAGCTAATCACTATGGCTAATCTTGTTATTGAATAAATATGTATGCAACGTAAGTTACANAAAATTAGAGAAGAAGATGAAGAAGAAGAATGTAGTGATGATGATGAAGGTGAAGATCCAGCGTTAGAAAGTTTAAGTTCTGCTATTCAGTATCAGGTAATTTGAAAATTAGAATAATGAAATGAATCCATAGGCATGAGAAAATAAGCTAATAATAAAAACAAAGTTTAAGTTAAAATTTAAATAAAATTTAACTGTATTAGTTACATTATTATGACTGATTTTTACTAATTCAACTGCCTTTTCTTAAAGTTAAAATGAATTTCCAAATGTTTGTTTATTATATAATAAACATATCATAAATTTGATGAAATATCTGATTGCAGTGTATAATAACATAGAGAAGAGGTGGAAATTTAGTTCACCTTTTATTTCATCTGCATTGAATGAAAATAGAAAAAGCATTATAACAGAATTTTATTTAAAATATTTGAGGATTAGAAATGTTAAGAGGTTTTAACAGTAATTAGAATAAAACTTAAGTTTCTTATTTTCTTAAAATTCAAATTTCATTGAGACAATAATATTCAGGGAACTAGTTATTATTTCTAAGAGTTATTTATTTAAGGTTTATTTCATAGAATTTTATTTGTGACCATAAATGGAATGCCTTTAAAAATTCTCCAAAACCATCAGTTAGTTGTATAGCTCATTGAGAAAGGAACTGTGACTATTTTAACTTTTTTCTTTCTTACAGTGATTTTGCTAAGCTAAATGAGTAATTATTTATTATGACATCATCACAAAGACAGGCTGCAATTTTTAATTTATTTAATTTAAAATATATACATTTGAGTTTAGTAGTGTTGTGCCCCTCTACATTATACTTTTTCTGTTATCAAAAGAACCATTCTTATCATCTTTCTAACTCTGTTCTGAAGAAAATTTTTGAATTGAAATAATGTGACTTCCATTTCAAATTGGACATTTATATATAGTTAATTTGGCTTGTTGTCCCTAAACTTTTTATGTCTGGTCTTGACTTTCCTCAATCTAGCTCCATTCTCGAGATTAACTCTTTTCCTTCTGATAAGCAGTACTGATAACAGTTTGGTTAAACTATTCATGTAAGAGAAACAAATTTAGAAAATTAAAAGTGCAAAAGTGTGTGGAATTTTCATTATGATTATGTGTGTACGCTCTTCAGCCAGGTAGTGGAGAAGAAGAAAAGACAAACTTTTGGACAGATCTTGACCAAGTTATAATGTGTGTTCTATGGACAAGAGATTAATCTGTGAGTACAATTTAAATGGTCATGTTGGGAAGAGGAAGAATGTAGAAAGAAGAGTTCTTGGGAAGTGGAGTGTAGGAGAAAGGAATGGAGAGGGAGAAAGACTAGTTGATCATGCTATGGCTTTTGACCTTGCACTAGTTAACGCCTACTTTGAGAAGAAAGCGAACCAACTGGTTACATACATGAGTGGAGGTAGATCCAGCCAGATTGATTTTTTCTTGTTCCATAGGAGACATTTGAGTGAAGTGAGAAACAGTAAGGTGTTAAATGGAGAAAGTGTTGCTGCACAACAGAGTCCTCCTGGTGAATTGTGACTTTCCTATGGGCCGTTGTAAGAATTGTGTTAGCCAAATTGAACAAAGGATCAAATGGCGGAGATTGAAAGAGGAAGAATTAAGGAAAGAGTTTAAGGAAAGGTAAAAGTGTTAAAAGAAATCCAGCAAACATGGTGGTTGCTGAATAGTAATTGCATTTTGAAAGTTGGAGAAGAGGTTTTGGGAAAAACTTCAGGGAAGAGATCGCCAGAAGGAAAGGAACTTTGGTGGTGGAATGCTGAGGTACAATTTGCAGTTAATTAAACAAAAGAAAGAGGCAAAGAAAAGGTGGGATTTGATGGGAAGGCCTGAAGATAAGAAACTTATCATTTGGCAAATAAAATGAATAAAAAGGAGGTGGCTATTGCAAAAGCAAAGGATTTAGAAGAGGCTTATAAAGTTTTCAAAAGGAAAGGTGGTGAAAGGCAGTTGATGAGAATTGCCAAAGCAAGAGATAAGGCATCAAAAAGATTTTACCTCTATTAAACTGATTAAAGATGATAAAGGAGTGATATTACAAGATTACGAAAGGGCCAAGGAAAAGATGGAAAGAATATTTTAGGAATTTATTGAATGAAGAAAACCCCAGAACTTTATATGAGAATGGAGAGACAAATGAAAAAGTAGTGCAAGATATTAACAGAGAAGAAGTGGAAAGTGTACTTAGGAAAATGAAGATGGGGAAAGCGGTAGGCACTGATCAGATTCTGGTTGAGGCTTGGAGAGGTTTGGGTAAGGAAGGAATTGATATCCTCTGGGACCTTATGAAGAAATTCTGGCAGCAGGAGAAGCCCAGATGAATGCATGAAGAGCATTCTTGTGCCAATCTTTAAAGGTAAAGGGGATGTACAGAATTGCAGAAATTAGAGGTATAAAGATATCATCCCATACTATGAAGATAACATTACATATCATACTATGAAGATTTGGGAGAAAATTGTAGAAAGAAGAATTAGGCAGGAATCTGAGATCGGAGAGGAACAGTTTGGCTTTTTGCTGGGAAGGAGTACAACCGATGCTATCTTTGCTCTAAAACAGTTAATGGAAAGGCATAGGGAAATGCAGGAAAATTTGCACATGGTGTTCATAGATCTAGAAAAGTGTATGATAGGGTACCAAGGCAAGAGATATGGAGATGTTTGAGGGAAAAGAATGTTCCAGAAAAATATGTTAGGCTTGTCAAGGAAATGTACGAGGGAGCAGAGTCCCAAGTTAAGAGTAGTGTGGGCACTATAGAAGGATTCTTTGTTAATGTTGGTTTGACCCTTCAGAGATCGACCCTTAGACCTTATTTGTTTGACCTAATAATGGGATGTGTTGGTGTGTGACATGATGTATAAGGCTCTGTGGAGTATGCTGTTTGGGGATGATATTGTGTTGTTGAACTATCCCAAACCAAGGCTGAGAAGAAACTGGATGATTGGAGAAAGTTTTGGAGAAAAGGGGTAAGAAGATTAGCAGAACTAAAACAGCTTATATGACTCTGAATGGTAGAGATGAGTGTAATATTAAAATCCAAAATGTGCCGTTTCCTATTGTTTCGAGTTTTAAATATCTTGGGACATTTGTCGAGATGGAGAAGGATTGAACTCTGAGGTGCATCATAGAATTCAATGTGGATGGATGAACTGGAGGAAGCTGAGTGGTGTGTTATGCAACAAGAAAGTTAGCTGCAATCTGAAAGGAAAATTGTATGAATCAGTTGTTAGACCTGCAATGTTATATGGAGCTGAGACATGGGCAATAACAAAAACCCAAGAAAGAAAGATGGAGGTGGCAGAGATAAGAATGTTGAGATGGATGTGTGGAGTGTCAAGGAAGGATAGAATAAGGAATGATTTTATTAGAGATTCTGTTAAGGTGGGCCCCTTGAGCAAAAAGATGCAAGAATGTAGGTTGAGATGGTTTGGCCACGTAGAGCAAAGAAGTGACAATTATGTTGGAAAGAACATTGGAAAACTGGCAGTAAGAGGAAAAGAGGAAGACCAAAGATGCTTTGGAAGAAGACTTGAACCAGAGGGGACTTAAGAGAGAAGCCCTTGATAGGGAGAAATGGAAAAAACGTATTAGAGAAAGAAATGTCGACCCATATAAACGTGGGAAAAGGCAAAGATAAAGAAGGAGAAGAAGTGCAAAAACCAAATTAAAAATTATATGAAATTTTTGTTTTGAGAAATTTAATTTTTGCTAGTTCTAAATATTGGAAAAATTTTTAGCAATATATTAAATAATAGTAATAATTAAAAATTAATTTTGTCCTGCTTATAAATATAATTTTACTCTGTTATTTTAATGAAACCATATAGGAGTATTTGTTTTTAGATTATCTATGATGCATTAAGAAAAGAAAAGTTAATGCTAAATGCAAGAAGTTTTAAAGTTGGAGCTTTAAATCTTTTAATGTCAATTCAGAGCAATGCAATTTATTTGATTTGGAAACATGATGTTTAAAGAATACAATGTAAAAAGATACTTTTCAACAAAAATATTCTGAAAAGTTTATTAATTTTTCATAAAAGGAATTGAAAAGTAAGGCTGTCAAACTATTAAATATTGAGTTTGGAAAATAATTTTGTGTTTTTACCACCAGAGGGATTTGTTGTATTTTTATCTGCCAATTTCATTTTAAACCATATTGTCATCAATCATTATATATTTTAACAGCTGACATTTCAACGCTTATTTGTAAAAAGTTTTGTTTGATTCTGTGCAATTGTTTTTTTCTGTCCCATCAAATATTGAAAATTGAAAGCTGCATTTTTAGCATATTTTACTTTTTTATTACCAAAAAGGTAAAAATGCTATTTAAGCAAAAAAAAATTGTGTGACGTATATGACAGTGACAGTGTCATGACTAGTTCGCAAAATTTTTTCTGGCAGTTTTGATATTGAAGATGCACCACATTCTGGAAGGCCAGTTGAAGCTCATGAAACAAAATAGGTATTAATTGAAGCAAGCTGCCGAATAACAACTTGAGAAATCACTAAGAGATAAAATTTGTCGAATTCAACCATTTATGATCACTTGAAATGTCTTGGTTTAGTTTCATTTGTGATTAACTTTTCAAGCATCAAGAAAATGATTCATTTTTGAAGTGAATCATAACTGGTGACGAAAAATGGATTGTTTATAACAATGTCTAACACAAGTGATCATGGAGTAGAAGAGATGAGTTGGTTCAAAGCACTTTAAAAGCTGATATTCATCAAAAAAAGTAAAGTTCTGTGTTTAGTGGGATTTTAAGGGAATTTTTTTTTTTTGAGATTCTATCAGACGATTCCACAATTGATTTGAAAGTGTACTGCCGTCAACTGGACAAATAGAGTGATACCATCAAACAGAGAAGGCCAGAATTGATCAACAGAAAAGGTGTAGTGTTTCACCATGATAATGCCAGACCTCATACAAGTTTGGTAACTCATCAGAAACTGTTACAGCTTGGATGGAATGTACCACATCTATCATATTTGCCAGATCTGGCATCCTCAGATTATTACTTGTTCTGGTCCTACAAAATTTTTTAAATGATAAAACATTTACTTCAAAT